TCCCTAAAGATTCCAAATTTCGATCCAATAATTCGACAATCCAAATTTCTAATCTTAAAAATTCCAAGACCTCTCTTTACTAATTTTTTTTTAGAATTTTTTATTATTGTAAACTATCAATTTTCCAAATATTTCCAAAATTTCTTCCAGTTTCAAAATTGTAATTTATTTTCTAAAGATTGTAACACCTGGAAAAATGATAATCTATCGATTTCATAAAATTTCCAAAATATTAATGCACCGATTCTCGAAAGAAATCTGTCCAAAATTCGTGGGGATAATTTTCCCCAAAGTCGAATATTCGATCCGGTTCGCCGGCGATGATGATCGGAGGCAATTCGAGTTGGTTGGCCGTGGCTGTGTCACTACACGTATGACGGCCACGTATATACCCATGCGTGTTGATACTCGGATAGAAGACGAGGTGGAGGACGTAGTAAGAGCTTTGCATGAATAATGTCCTCCGCGACGTGATCTGAACTTCTTGGAAGGGATGGACTGAACGTGGACGGTCTCTCCGCTACAAGATCCATCCTCTCTCTCTCTCTCCTTCTCCTCCCTCGATCGTCCCCTCGTCGGTACGACGAAGAGAACGACGACGACGAGGAGGAGGAGGCGAGGAGCAGGGCGGAATAAAGGCAGATCGGAGATATCGGATCGATCGGGTAGATTTGCGTTTTAATGAGGTGTGCTTGCACCGATGCCCGCTGAATCTTGAAGAGCTAAGTGTAACGGGACGAATTGAATTGATCGATTGCATCGGCGTTTAATTGAATCGGAACATGGACAGTTTCGTTCTAGAGACGTCGTCCGGTAAATTGTGCATAATGTTGTACTACAAGAGGGCCGGCTACGGATCCGACGATTCCATCCGATGTTGCTCCTCTCTCTCGTTTCCAAACGAGAGATCGATTCCTTTCCCAAATGTGTTCGCTCCTCCTTTATTACATCGCGCCCCACCCGAGATCAAGATCGACTCGGTGTTTAACCTTGGGCAAGAAGCGAGAATCTCTCTCCCTGTTTTTCTTATTTAATCTCCTTGAACTCCTCGTCGCATCTATATAAATTTTCAGAAATTTTTTGAAAACTTCTCTCTCGAGAATATAAGATCAGGCAATGATTAGACAAGAGCGTGCATAGTTAAAAATAAAGGTAAAGCTAGGTAGAAGGGGACACCGTTGGCGGATCCGCGGCGGGCTTAATAATGGTGGAATCGTGGGCCACCAAACGGCGACTGTCAACTGTCGACGACAAAGATGGTGGGCAAGGATGGGGGCGAGGAGAAGGGGGGAGGTTGGACGCGCGGCGTAGGAGCCGATGAGAAGGTTGCGACTTGAGCTCTCACTTAGCGGCCGCAGTGTCACGATCGGGACGGCTGCATTAGCATATCTCCACGATGCAGCGTGTATAGGAGAGAAAAAGACGTTGGCTACCGTCGAGCAGAGGGGGAGGGGGAGGGGGAGAGGGGGGAGAGAGAGAGAGAGAGAGAGAAACACATTGCAAAGAGACGGAGAGAGAGGGATGAGCAAAGTGTCGGTGGATGCATCGGTACGAGTGGCATGCATCTCTTGCATGGGTCGTGGCCCCGTGAAAACAGGGCGCGCACACTCCGCCGTAATACGAGTGGAAAGAAGGAACGAGAAGAAGAAGAAGAAGAAGAAACAAGAAGAGGAGGAGGAGGAGGAGGAGGAAGCGGAGAGAACTCACTCAGACCTCACCAGACCTGCCTGTTACCTGTACGTCGCGTGTTTGCCTACCCGCGTCACGATCAGGATCCTATTTGCATAGCGCCGATGAAGCTGCTACCGTTGCGCGCTCGTTTTCCTGCCACCGGTGTCCCCCTCCCTCCGCTGTGGCTACGCAAGGGAAAGATGACGGGGTTGGGAGGAACGTGCGGAGGAACGTGTTTGCCCGTTGCTTCTTTGTCGATCGAGAAGATGTCGAAGGAAGCGTCGCTTTGCCAAGATCTTTAACGAAAGATTTGCGGGAGAGGAGACGGAATTTTCGTTTTCTTTTTCTACAAGTATCGTGAAGAGGAAGAAATTTTTCGACGTCGAATCGTTCCAACGTAACAAGCGGTGGAAACACGTATAAACTAAAGATATACTTGTTACACGTGTCGGTTCGCCTTTGACACGCATGCAACGAGCGATAATGCATTAATAACGCGACAAGCGAAAAGCTAGCCACGTGCCAAGACGTATCGGCCACTGCACTCATTTATGCGGCGACCGACTATTATTTATATATCTCCTTGTTCGCCTCGAAGAAAATGATCGGACGAATACAAAGGGATAAAAAACGCAGTGTAGTTTGGAAATAGCTGCGTCTCATGGTTGTTTCTAAATTCAATTAAAAGCCGCAAGGAGGAAGGGGAGGGGAGAACAATGGCGGGCAAGAGGAGGAGAACTTCCGAACTCCGTTTCTCACGCGGCCGTTCTTCGTTTCTCTTTATAAAGCGGGGGCCGAAGGTGTACACGGGCGCGGTATCGGTTCTCAGAATGGCTTATCAGCCCGCGGATATGTTAATGGCGGCCGTGTTCGACCCCCTGCCCTCATCTGCCCCTCGCCGCCACCACCACCACCGCCGCCGCCGCCGTCTTCTTTTCGAGATATATTACACCCTCGGAGGTGGTTGGTGGCGGTTATACGAGCGAGCAAGGTGCAGCCCTCTCGATCGGCCGTTGAACGTTTGCATGCACGTGCAATTAAGAATGGTATAATCCCCCTCCTTGTTGGGGCGAGAATGGAAAGGCCGAAAGGTGGAAGAAGGCGGAAGGATCGGGTTTTCAACAATCAGCCTCGATAGAGTCGTTCGAACTTGGAACGTGTTCGAGGAGGATGGATCGATGATTCGAAGGAACGTAAGGAAGATTTATCGAAGTTGATCCGCTTCGTGAAAAGTGAAACGTTACGGTCACGGTTAACTCGTCGTACGTTAACTCATTAATTAATGATATCGGCGAATTGACAAACGATAAGAAGCGGAACGATAAGAGTAATAGTTTCTCTGATAATTCAAACATTTTACAATTTTCGATGGTTCGCATGACGGGCAGGATAATCAGCCGGTTTCTTTGAATTTGCATTAATTCGAAACTTAAATTGCAAAACTTATTGCAAAACTCCGCTACCATCGTGCTAACGCGAATAATTCGCGAGAGTAGAAGATATCTCAAAATTCAGAACTTCGAATCGTGACTCGATCATACCGGGAAGAAAAGAAGAATCTGTTCCACAATTTCGATCAATTCGCCCGCAACGAAGCTCGCGCGTAAACGAGCGTGTACCGCGGTCCCAGGTAGCTTGTACACGCGTGCAATTAAGAATGGTCGATTCCTGGCCATCCGAGGATCGGATGGAACGACAAGCCCCGGCTGGAAGAAATAAGGACTCGAATTGCAGATAGCATTAGAGGAAAAGGAGGGGAGAGGAGTAGAGGGGGAGGGTAGCGGCCGAGAGAGCTGGCCGAGCGATCCATCGATGACCGCTTATTTACAGAGAGGCAGAAGGAACACGACCGAGTTGTAGATGCGAGCCGTGGATAGGCGCTAGAAGTGCGCTCCAACCCTTTGCCCCAATCTTCCTCGGCATCTCGCCTCCCCTCTTTCGCCTCGTGTACCCTCGCCCAGGCAACCGACCAAAGGCAATTAAAGCATCCGGGTAATTCGACGATACGCGTGTTGTCGTCGTCTCCTCGATTTCGAAGCAGGAACCCACCACCTGGATGTGGATGCGTGTTTCGTCCGGTGATGAGGATATCCGTGGCGAGAAGAAAGAAAGAAGGCGAAAGATTACGGCGATTCGAGGTGTCGATGCCGTGTCGAGCATTGCTCCACTTGCTTGGCAACAGGATGTTTCTTCTTCCAATTGCGCCGAGCGGGGATTCGATAACCGCGGATAGCGCGGTTTTTCCCTTCTTTTTGCGTGCGTCGATCTTGGTGGAGTAGTAGCTTTTCTGTAACGTAACGAAGCTCTTAATTAGGGGAGGGTTTAAACGTCGATCGAGAATAGAGAATTTTTAATTCTGCTCGAGAGAGATACGGCTAAAAGGAATTTTAAATTGCCACGTTTGTTTCGAAATAAATCGTTGATCGAGAAAGTAATTCGAGTAATGGAGTAATGTAAATCAGTGTTGAGAGAAGAAGCGGGGAGGAAAAAACTTCGTCGTCAGCCTCGAAAGGAAAGCTTCCCACAGTCCAACTTCCTCCACGATACGATCTTCGAGATAAGGATCGAGAAAGAAAAAGGAAAACGTCACCTTCCTAAATCCGAGGCTTCGTTTCGCGTAGTTTCGCGTAGATGGGCCTAATAAACGGAAACTGGCCAACCCCAGAGAAGATCGTCGAGGTTATCCGAAATTTCGACGCGAGAGCAGCCCCTTTCGGCGTCGAAGCGGCTCTCTCGCCGGAATGGTGGGGATCTCGATTCGAGGCGTGCGAAGGGTGCAGCGAGTGGGGTGGGCCGGCGGTGGTGGAGGGATAGATAGACGAGTAGAGAGAGATATGCCGGTGGAGGGACAGGGAGAGAAGGGGAGAGAGGGTACGCAAAGGCTGGCGTGGCGAACGACCATTAGGGAGCCGAACGGCCATAGAGACGCATCGTTTGACGTGCGTGTCGGACTCTTCTTTTTCTTCTTTTTTTCCTCCTTTTCTCTCTCTCTCTCTCTCTCTCTCTCTCTCGTTTCCTTGCCCACCACTTCCGGCTCCGCTTCCGTCACGGATCCGTTTTCGTGGGCCATGGTCGTTTCTGGCGAATTCGTCAACTGTTGTTGGGACAACTTGAGAAAATGTACGAATATGTATATAAATAATAATAATAATAAGCAAAATGTTTGATTGAAAATTGATCTTACTTGTTGCATTTTGTTTTCTTTTTCTTTGAAAAAGTTGATAAAGAATCTCGGTTTGATCAGTTGATAGACACGAAAAGAAAGATCGTTGTTGGAGAAAAAGATTGGAGGATAAAAATGACGATGATGTGTTGTTTTGTGGTTTCAGGGGAGGATGAGGAATGGAGCGACTCGGAGAAGACACCCTCGGTGAGCAGCGGTGTGGAGGGCGGTGGATCGGCGGTCTCGAGCCCGATCGCGCCGATCGTCGAGGAGGAGTCGAGTTTGCCGCCACCACCGAGACTGAATCCCCCTTCCTCGTCGGTTGTGATCGCGAATTCGGCCGCTGAAGATATCAGATTGAGGCTCAGCGTTCTATCTGAAGACGCTCGGAAACGGCTGGCTAGTCTTACCGAAGATATCGAGGTAAAATTTAATCGATTATCACGTATTTCTAATCCAACCAGAGTTGGAAGAGTTTGATTTTTAACCAGATATACCGATTGATTCTATCTATTACTCGAAGAAACGAACATCCTTCGACGAGTTTAATTTTTAAAATTGCTCGAAGGAGAAACTTAGAGCAAACGAAATGTTCGCCGCGTAGGTTGCAAGAAGCTTGAGAGATCGACATGCCACCCCAAGGGCCAATCAGACGCGAGAATCGAGCCCGAAGGACACGGACGAGGATTCGAACATGGTCGTGGTCAAGGAAGAGGATTGTCAGCCGAGGTCGTCGTCCTCCTCGTCTTCCTCGACCAGAAGGCGGGAGTCCGTGTGCAGGAGGGATTCGGAGGACTCCTCGAGACGATCGAACACCGCGGACGACACACCGTCCGAGAAAAAGCTGAAACTCGATGATGAAGCAGCACCAAGACTGAGACTCAATGCTAGTCTGGCGACGGATCCTGCGCTTCGGCCCGCCGCTGTAGCCGCGCTCACCGTCAAACCGGAAAATACCTCGCCGCCGAATCCTGTGCCACCCCTGCCGGCTGGACTTCAAAACGGTAACTATGAACCTTCAATTATATACAGATTCGAACGTCAGAATTGTAAATTAACGGAGTGGAAACCTCTTGGATCTTTGCGAATAAAGATTTCTTCTAGATCTCTAATAAAAAAAAAAAAAAAATTTTTTTGAAAGAAAATAGATCGTTGTAAATTCTTAAATTAAATTGCAATTGTAAAAGTTAGAAAGCGAGATATATCTCGCGGTAACACCTCCTCGTATAACGTGTAACGCATAACTCAATGGAAGAAACGAACGTTGCAGCGATCGCGTCAGGTCGGCTGTTCGTGCTGCCAACCGACGGCAAGGAGACGATCACGGTGGAGCCAGCCAGGCCGGCGCCGCTCATCTGCCCGCCTTGCGGCATCCGTTTTAGCTCGGCGAGCACCCTCGAGGCGCATCGCACCTTCTACTGCGCCCACCGCCCCCGGCTCGAGGAGGAGGCAGCCAACGAGGAGGACGAGGAGAAGTCGAATAAATTCGAGGTGAGGAAGGCGTACGCTTGTCCCCACTGTTCGTACAGCGCGGACAAGAAGGTCTCGTTGAACAGACACATGAGGATGCACGCCGCGTCCCCGGCACCACCCACGATACCAACCGCGCCGACCACGGCCACCACTCCAGGAACAGGCGCGGCGACCGCCTCGAACGGCTCGTTGAACGAGGAAGCGGAGAGATATTGCAGAAATTGCGACATCCGATTCAGCTCGCTCAAGACTTACAGAGCGCACAAAACCCACTACTGCAGCACCAGGCACGTGGTGAAGGACGCCCAACCGGCGGCCACTGTCCCCTCCTCCTCGGTCAAAGCGTCGCCGCCGACTAGCGCGAGCCCCGGCGAATCGCCACCCCCGCAACCGTGTCTGGCATTGCCCACCAACCCGATTCTCATTGTCCCGTACTCATTGTTCCGCGGTGCCAGCGTTCTAGCGGCGCCGACTCTGCCCGCTCCCGACACCGCGTGCTTCCTTCTTCCCAATGGTAAGTGTTCCACCATTTCCGTATATATAGCTCTGCCATCTGCTCGTATCCAGTCCCATTTTCACGCAGGTCATCTCCAACCGATGACGAGAGGTCTCGCAGCCACGGGCCAGAACGCCGTGGTCGAGCCGCCCCCGGTTCTTCGAGCCGCGAACAAACCAACTACGCCCGCGTCCGTCGTCGCGTCGTCCACGTCGCCATCGGGCTCCGCGCCTCTAGACTTGAGCGTGAGGAAGTCACCGGCTCATCAGGACGAGAAAGAGAACAGAGTGTCGCCGGCACCCTCTTCTCTGCCTCCGCCACCTGGCAGCCCAAGATCCAGAGGAAGCGGAAGCCCTAGGGCGAGGTCGATTGGCTCTACTCCTACGGTAACCGCGACTGTCGTTCCACCACCACCAACGGAACTCGCTCTGAGATTGGCCGAACTTCCACCACCACCTGTTCCCAGCGTTCTCGTGAAGCAGGGTGTCTCGAGGTACGATTGAACTTTTATGGCATTAATGGTTCTTCGTCGATGTGTAACGATCGAGAATCGTTCGATTTTCAGATGCAAAGAATGCAACATCGTGTTCTGTCGACACGAGAACTTTGTCGCGCACAAGAAACACTATTGCCAGGCGAGAGAGACATCGGTCAGCAACAGTCCTCCGCCACCTGGTACACCCTCGCCTCCTTTGGTTCAATTAATTTGCGCCGCATGCGGAATCAAGTTCGCCTCTATGGATAATCTAGTAGCTCATCAAGCGTTTTACTGTCCTAAAAGGCCAGAACCCCAAGAGCATCACTCGCGATGTTCCAAGTGCAAAGTTAATATCGATTTCTTTACGTTTTTCACTTGAGATCAAATGTGTTGTTGCCTGGATAAAAGATAAATTAATGCTATATTTTTCCCATCCCTCTATCTCTATAGACTATAATAGAACCTGGAACAACCCATACCTGTACCAGTGGACCGACCGGAGGTTGGAGATGCCCTGTTTGCGGTGCGGTTAGTCCAACGGCCGGGGCTGCTCAACGTCACATGGATGCGCATCAAGGCGTGAAGGCTTTCAGGTGCACGATCTGTCGTTACAAAGGAAACACGTTACGCGGTATGAGAACGCACATCAAAATGCACTTTGAGAAACGCGGAACCGATTTGCAGGTATGGCGATTGCATTTACACTGCACTACACCGATCCTCTTATCTCCTATAAATTCCTCGATAAAATTACCATTTTGTTTGGCTTTTTTTTTTTTTTTAGGAGGAAAATTATATAACATGCGTACTCGACGACGAAACAGTTCTGCCTAATCCAGAGCCTGCTCCAGCCACCACTCCCGAGGAAATCCCTGCCGAGGTGCAAGTAAACGGGAAAAGCGAAGTTCGAAAGAGTCCGCAGCCACCTCCACCACCTCCTCCGCCACCGCCCCCAGTTGCTAATAAGGTGAAGCAAGAACGCGAGGATACACCACCACCTCCTGAAGAAAGTTTAGATCCCAACAAGAGCGGTCCGCGTTACTGCAGGTCATGCGACATCAGTTTCAATTATTTGAGCACGTTCATAGCTCACAAGAAGTTCTACTGCTCGAGTCATGCGGGGGAAGCTAGTAACAATAATAACAATAATAATAACAATAATTCGAGCAGTCACGCGACGACGCCTCCAAGTAGCAGAACCGAAGCGTCGGTACTTTAAAAAAAGACTCTTGGAATGGGACAACCAATGGGACTGTTAATTGTTGCCAGTTTATATTTAGTTGACTACCGTTGTGTGATTTCTTTTGATCCAGGGAATTGTTTGTACTTATAAATTGAGTTATCCGATGTGTACATACGTGCGATGCGTGAAGAAGAAGAAGCTGCGTGAAACGTAAGCTAAAATGTAGAAAGAAGCGGAAAGTTGGGCGATCGTGGCAACGTTTGATAGTTTGCTTTGGATGAATTAGACAAGAGAAAGATCTATTGGATCGAAGGGAAAAAATAAAATGAAACGTACCAAAGTGAAACTGTCAAATGGAACGATATGTAAATCCACGAATGAAAGGGATCGTGCAGTTAGGTTTACGATGCAGCTGATCTCATATGCCACAATCGACCGATGTTAAAGGTGTGCAATCTCATGACTCTTCAATAATCTCATAGTTGTAATAATCGACACATACCTAAGGAATTACGAAAAAAATAATGATGAGTGTAAAATGTTGTACAGTAGCCGAGTAGAGTATTACGGTACGATATATTAATAATCTTAAATGATACCAATTCCCAGCTTGTGAAAACGCTAAGTTGCAATATGACATTTAATATATTATATATAAATATATATAGGTATAAATAAATAATTTCATTGTCCATAAATCGCGCTCATATTCTTTGACGAGTAAATATGTTGGTAATAGTATCCATACTGCCATAAGAAAGAAAGATCGGAGTCGTTTCCTATCTCTTTGCCAACAGTCTCGAATAAAATAATATCGAGAAAGTGAAAATAAATCAATGACCCCTAATATTTCTCTTCGAATTCTGGATACGGTGGATAAATGGGTCCTTACCAACGTACTTGCCTCGTTATATTACAATCAAAAAAAAAAAAAAAAAAAAAAAAAAAAAAAAAAAGAAAACATCGCCTGTACTTGTATACAAGTAACGGATTCGTTGCGAGCGCGTAAATGTAAAAATTAGAATTAAGGCCAGTGTTACACGTATACGCAGCGTACTATTCATATCACATAAAGAGTTCGTTAAAAGCATGAATTTCTTCACGTGAACGTTTGACAATGAGAGAAATAGAATGAAAGTGCGAGAGAACGAAAGAAAAAAAAAAAAAAAACAAATATGCGAATGTTGTAATTTGAACGTTGTCCAAAAATTGAATTATACGACAGCGTTATCGAAAAATCTCAGTTGTGTAAAAATTGTTTTCGTATTTCAGCGAATAGTATAGTGAGATAAAACGCGAACGTTCGCAGATACTTTTATAAAAGTAATTGTTATGTTATTTACAGGTCTTCTGCTAATTGCTATCTAAAGAAATGCAAGATTCGCAATATTCCATTATAAAATAAATACAAAAAATTTGATAATACATCACGAAGAAACTACTTTACTGAAAATTTGTAAATCTCTGATACTTCCACGATAATTTGTTATATATTATAAATCTGGTATATTATTATATGCCATATCGTCGAAAACAGTTCTTTTTCTAAACACAACCTATACACACACTTTCCTTCGACATCTAGATTTACCTTTTATTACTTTTATTTTGATAGATGAATTTTACATACAAAATATATCTATATAAATATGTAATAAAATATATAGACACAAATAAAAGATCTTCATGACCTTTACCTCTGTGTAGTAGGAGAAATAGCATAAACTCGTAAGACTTGTATTTGGAAAACAATTTTAATATTGATTCCACTAACTGAAATTATTTTACATAATATGAAATGTACTGCATTAATGTCATTGACTATTTAGCTATTTTCTTTCGGTATAAAAAGACTTATATGTAATTAAATTGTACTATTTTTTATGATACATAATCTAAATTATCATTATCCTCATCTGATTCTTCAGATACACATATACTGTAATCACTAAAATGATTCTCATCTTCCTCCAATTCTTCCTTTATTCTTGCTTTGTACCTTGCATATTTGTAACCATAAGTATTTACATCATTTTCATCAACTGCATAAATAAAATCATCTTCTTCGGATAAATCAGATTCCTCATCTAATCTCATATTCATCACAGCCTCTCTCATATCATCTTCATCGATTGATTTTTCAGAATAATTTTCAGAATCAGGATAATCATTTCTCCAATTTGACTCTGAATTTGAATCCTCGGATTCATGTTCATCTTCGGGATATCTATCATCTCTATAAGTATCATAAACCAATTCTTGTTCATATGGATGTATAGATATATCATCTAAACATATATCATTCTCTGTATGGACATAATATAAGTCATATACATAATTATCATCCTGTAAAATATTATTCAAGTTATACAAGTAATTATCAATTGAAATAATTGAAAAATATTAATAAGAAAATGTTGTTTACTTTCTCTACAGAATCCTTCTTTTCTATGGATATCGAATCTTCTACATCTATCACAGTCATAATCTTCTCTTCTGAACTTTCGATATTATTCAAAGATCGAAAACAATTAATTACTTTGTAACGATTCTCTACTGAAGCTTGTTTTGTTATTTCTCTTACTTTATTTATTATATCTATAGGATGTTGTTTAAAATATGCTTGTAATTCGTCTTTTTTATAGTTTTGAATTAAATGGTCGACACTGTCTTCCTATAAAAATAAAACAAATAATAATCTTAATGTGAATATATAATTTATTGAAGATATTTGCTTTTTTTTTTTTTCAAATATAAACCTGTTTTGCAATAGTTCCAGCAAGTTTAGCAATTGTGGTTACAGAAGTTGAAAATGCTTCTTCTGCTACTTCATCTGTAGTTTTTTGACGTTTACGTGAAATTACTAAAGTATTTAATGGTTCGTCATCGTGTCTACGTTTCACACGCAATATTGCTGCCATTTTTATACTTTATTATTTTAAAAAAATATTCACGCACGCACTGATGCTTTACGTTCTGTTCCGTTATGTTACATACTATGTATACTATATACTAATATACTATATAATATGAAGTTCAATTTACAAAACGATTTGTCTTATTTCGAGGTTAAAATCGTTTTCAACGGTCGACATATCGATTATCATTCGCTGGTCAGCAACAACGCTGGCAGGGCGTAGAAATTCTCGGTATGTTTTCAACTCGGAATTTGTTCATTTTCTTTATATTAAACAATTTATGAAAGCTTAATTGTTGATTTCGCTTAAAATGAAGCGTTAATATCATTAAAAAATGGCGCAATCTATTTTCGACGCTTTAACAGGTAAAATTTTTCTCTCATAGGAGAAGGTGGGGTTAACCAACAAGTATTTTATCTTTTTTTTTTTAAAAAAAACTTTAAATAACATTTTGAGAATTTAGAATATTTATTTTTTCTTTTTCTTATAGGTGTATCAGTGCAATCATTATTAGATTCTCCAACTTTAATAACTGAAGTTGAACAATCAGGTAACTTTTGATGAAGTAATACTAATAACCTATTAATTGAAAATTCTCTCTCGTATAAATTTTTATAAGATAAATTTAACGATATTTTTTTGTGTTTTATATTTAGCAATTGATCAAGATGAGGAAGATATATTTCAATGTGGGAAATGCAAAAGTCAATTTACATCATTGCACATGTTTGTGTTGCACAAAAGAACGCATCAAAAAACACAAGAACAAACAGTAGATTTGAGTCAATTTTTGGTAAATGATGACACTCAAGCTGTTCACACGGAAAACAATAGTCAAGATGTATCACAATATAATCCTCAAGAAACGTTTGTTCAAAATGATCAACTTAATGAACCAATTATACTTGAAGAATCAGATATGTTATTTAGGTAAATTTATATAAATTATATATTATGTATATATTATGTATAATATATTAAAAGATATTTCTTTGAATAATATATCATTTATTTTTTATAGCATGGATCAAGAGGGTGCTAATTATTTCACAACAGATTCCACATTTAGTGTTCCAATTATATTAAGTTCGGAAAGTTTGGATACTTTTGAAAATTCTACTATTCCAGGGGATAATGATCCTTTAAAAAATGAATCAAATGAAGTACCTCAAATTCTCCAAAGTGATATTTCTCAAGAACAAAACATTAAAAGTACAGATAAAGTTGATATACCAATGACTGAAAATCTAATAACAGAATCTGAAACTATTAATCAAACACAAAACTTAAAAGTATATATTTTCATGAAACGAAATGACAATTTTTTTTATATTTTTATTTAAATTCGCGTATTTTTTAACATAAATTTTTCATTGCAGTATAAATGTGGTTATTGTAGCAAACAATTTTCAAAAAAATTTTATTGGCAACAACATGAACGTTCTCATACAGGGGAAAAACCATATCAATGTGTTGTATGCGGGCGTGCATTCGCACAAAAATCAAATGTTAAAAAACATATGTCATCACATAAAGTATGGCCAGGTACCGCTATACACTCCTTACCTCCAGAGGTATTTTATTAAACGTTTTGAAACAAACTTATAATTTCAATCAATTTCTCTTTTTTTTTTTTCTTTAATTCTTTATGATTATTATTAGGTACCACCAGATGGAAGTATAGATCGTACCTATCATTGTCAGTTTTGCAAAGAAATATTTGATTCGTACAAAGCTTTAAAGGGCCATCTTATAGTCTCTCACTTAGCACTGAAAGTGTACAAATGTGTGCAAAGTAGTTGTAGTATGATGTTTGCTGAACTTGAAGATTTTTTAGAGCACACTCGTAGTCATAAAAGATCAGAATATCGTTGTCACGTATGTGGTGAAGTATTTAATACTTTGTCTGATCTTGGACTTCATCAATATGCCCATTCCGTCCAAAAACAAAAAACAACAGAGAAATATTACTGTTGCTCCATTTGTAAATCCTCTTTCTCTAATTTGGAGGCTTTACAACATCATACAGAAACCACAACGCATGATTATGCTTGTCTACATTGTGGAAAAAGTTTCTTGATCGAACGATTTTTGCGGCGTCATTTAAAAACACACGCCTCATCCGCACGATTTACTTGTGAGGATTGCGGAAAGGCCTTTAAAACTGAGCAATACTTAGCCAATCATAAATTAATACATAGCGAGGAAACACCATTTCTGTGTCCAGTAAGTATGATTGTAAAATATTTGTAAATCGTTTTATTTTTTTTATGATACAATTTATTTATTACAGCATTGTCCAGCTAGATTCAAGCGGAAAGACCGTTTAGGTCGTCATATGTTGATTCATGATTTAACAAAAAGATTGAAGTGTCCCTTCAGAACTTATTTAGGTTGTATGAGTGAATTTTCACGACCTGATAAGTTAAAGCGTCACTTATTGACGCACAGCAATATCAAAAGATTTAGTTGTAGTCATTGTAATCGTAATTTCCATCGGGCACAAGCTCTTAAGCATCATGAGATGAATAAACATAATTTAAAATGCGAAATTTGCTCACACGTAAGTATTTATTTCACCGAATATAATTTAAGTAAATATTTATCTTACGAAATTCATATTACAGGCATTTAAAACTAAAGAGCAATTGCTAACTCATAATTGTGATCAGTCGAATGAGACTAAAAAGCATATGAGTTCACAGTTACCTAAGAAAGCTTCTGGATCATTTAAACCAAGGAAACCTACTCCAAAGAGACAAACATCATCAAAGACTGCAATTGGACTTGCTGATAAAGAAAAATTAGAAAAATTTAAGGCTGATGAAATACAGAGAAAAGTAATTTCTTAAGAATAATTTCTTAAGCTTAACAAATCAATATTTATTAAATAATAACTTATATTATATGTCCATCCATTTTAGATCACTTCTGAAATGTTAAAATCTGATGACTGCAGAGAAGAAACGTGTACCATAAAATTAGAGAACATTTCTGTATTAAAAGAAGTCGGTTCAACAATCGAAGCTCTCATCAAATCTGACACAGCGGATAATGAAATCAAACGCAACATTGATACATATTCGGTACAGCAGACAGGCGAATAGAGTTTTTAAATATATTTTTTAATTATATTTAAATTATAATATAGTCTAGGCTGTAGATAAGTTGTCATACTACGTGCAATGGGATCATTGGCAAACTTGCAAGAGTTGCATTTTATAATAGTATATATAATATTTTGTAGTTTACATATCTGTGATAATTGTATTATAAAATATATTAATATAAATAACTTATATCTATCTATATCTCAAATATTTTTAATGTCGCCTTCCTTAGGCCGTTTGGAATTTATGGATGTATTAAAGAAAAAGATGTTTATGTCATTGTGTGTATTTCATTCTGTTCAATTTCCTCATATCTTTTGCAATATTGCATTTAATTTTCTTTCCAACAAATTAGTAAAAAGATACAATAGTACCATATCTTACGGATGTTAAAACATATTTCAAGATAGTGATTGAAAGGAAGTGGTTTCATAATCGCCACTTTCTTCCTTCTACTAACATTTCAAGTTTGATTTAATAGAAAAAAAAAAAACAGTGTTCTTAATGCATTAGTGCATTAGTGATATTCCAACTAAATATTAGTGCATGTTAAATTAAATTATAATTTAAAATATGGCTCAACGAGCATCTTATCAAATTACTAACGCTGAAGAAGGCAAAGCAGCTCAACAAGATCAATCTTACAGAAGTTGCGTTTTAGCGTTGTTAATATTTTTATTTCTCTGTATTATTCTAATACTTGTTAGTTTTCCGTGGAAAACATACCATTCCGATCATCTTGAACAAGAAGATGAATATACAGAAACAGCGCAGGTAAGTTTTTAACAATATAAAGAAATAAAACCTCAATAATAATAATTATATCGATACAGCATCATCATCGCGAACATCAAACTAAAAGAACAACCAGCTCGATAGAATCAGTTACAACTTCTATGATGGATGAAATGATTACAAAAGAAAGAGAAACGAACGTTGACATATTTTATGTAAAAAATGTTACAAATCAGAATAATAATAATGATGATGATACTAAATTTGATGAACTTCTAAGTCCTGAAACTAGTACGAAAGATCTATCAATTATTACAACTCTGATTACAGAAGAAAATCAAAAAACAACTTCTATAAATACAAATACTCCTGTGGAAAAGATTTCTTCTAGCGAGAGTGAAAAAAATATAGATCTATCAATAATTACAATTGACACATTATTATATAACTTTTCGACATTTATTTTTAATTTTACGGAAAATAGTACACCAACTCCGATTACAGAAAAATATCAAAAAACGACAGATATGATAGAAACAACTTCCACAGATACGAATACTCCTATGAAAGAAGTTTCCTCTAATAAGGATGAAAGAAATATAAGAAATATTTCTGAATATATAGTTTCTTCTTCTACAATATCAACTACAACAAAAAATAACATTATTGATGATTATACAGTTACAACTATTAATACAGATACAACTGATTCTAGTTCACCGTTTAATAATCAAACGTGTATTTCGGGCGAATGCAAAAATTTGGCCAGCAAGATATTATTTTATATGAATCACACGATTGATCCATGCGAAGATTTTTACGAATATGCTTGCGGTGGTTTCGAGATCAATCCTCAAACTGTAGAATTTAATTTAGAAGATGTATCTTATCAACGTATCTTAAGTGCGTAGTATTATAAAAAAATATGTTTTTATTATTAAGCAATGTTAAAAAGAATTTTTTACACATAAAATATTAAAATATTAGAAAATATTAGAACTGGTTTTTCTTCTATTTTTTTCATTTCTTTTATTTGTAATAACATTACAAAAAATGCAATATTCTATTTTAAAAATCATATCAAATTAATAAACGATAGAAAAAGATAATTCTTTTTATAAATATATTTTTCAATCAATTTTAATCAGGACAAATGAAGAAGGAAAATGTGGAAAATGTATCTCTTTTTGCCAAATATTACGACAGTTGCATGCAATACGAAAAAATTAATCAAAAAGAAAGGATAAAGCTAGGTAAATGAAAATTATAAGTTTAATTAATTTCTAATTTCGAATACAAATTTAATATATAATAAATATAATTTTTCTTTTTTACAGCAAGAAAACTATTAGATAAGGTAGGAAAATTTTACACTACAAGAGATTTGGCTGAAAAGCATACAAACTTTACTTTTCTACTCGCTACGTTATTATTACACAACAGGTAAATAAGAAATGAAAACGACCGTACAAAAATATCGCACGTCGCATTCACATAATATATATATATATACATATAATATATATTTTATTCGTATTTTTATTTCTATTTCTAGCGCTTTATTGTTCGATGTCGCCCCAGATCTCGACGAATATTCACCGAAAAAATTTACTTTTAAAATAGGTCCAACGACATATAGCAATCCCTTCGAAATAGAGGAAACTAACGATCTTTGTTATGCGGATCAATTGGAAAGAGAAAAAGAAACGGTGGATTTAGGAGAATTGTACAGGGAATACAAAACATGCAAAGTATACGGATATGTACATGTATAAAAAAAATATGTTCTATCGATAGAAACCTATATATAACAAATGTTCTTCTCATTTATTTTGTTTTAGAAAAATACGACAAAATTTATTGACTCCATCTCGGAAGCTCTTACAGCATTTGGAATATTCAATGAATTGAACAATTCGTACATCTCTCAATTCATAAGTAGTACATGCATTAATATCGATTTTGAAATAGTAAAAGGATTTTTTGCGGTGAGGTCAAATTGAAAATTATTTTATTGAATGTAAATAAATTTTTCTCGACTACGGTTTCCTTTCGTTTCAGAATTTTCCTTCCCAAGATAAGATTCGCGAGGCATATCTTATGAAAAATTATAGCCGTATCACTATCGAGGAATTGCAAAACAATTTTAAAATGGTAAGGAAGAAAGAATTTGATCTTATTGGATACTTAAGCTAATATTAATTTTTAAATCGATATTCTCTATAATATATTTTTTTTACAGATAAATTGGACGCAGCTAATTATTTTTTAACGGAGCAACATATTGAAGAGAAAGTAAAGGTACAGGTTACTTTTACGATGAACTAGCTAAAGGATTGAAAAGTTTGGAAGAATTTGAAAAAAAAGATCCAATGACATTATACAATGCATTATTAGGATTGTATGCACGCAATCTTTATCACGAGGTACACAAGTTTTCACAGGTCAAATATGCGAAATATTTGCTCAACCGATTTGGTTTATATACCAAAATTATTAAATATTGAAACTAGCATAATTTCTTTTTGTATTAGTGAATGTTATATTTTATCGAATTGGACATTGTTATTTTTAAATTTGTTGTTTTATAAATTACTAATATAATAAAATAGAGATTAATGAAAAAAAATTAAAAATCATATAATGGACCATATTTTTTAATGATCTTAAAACATCTCATGATTAATATTATTATTTTATATTATATTATTATTATTAGATATTATTAGATCTCACTGTAGCAATAACGAAATTTAATAATATTTTGAAGTGCAAATAATTCGCATCAGACTATGAAAACTTTTATTTATTTTTTCTTTCAATTTTCTATATTCTAATATTTCAATTTTCTTTCTTCAATTAAATTTTTTTAATAACTTTTAACATTTATTATTATTATTTTTTTTTTTTTAGTTAGTTTTATCAAAACATCTAGATGTTAAAAAATATTGCCTTCGCGTAGCTGCTAATGTTTTAATCCCGGAAGCTTCGAATTTATATATTTCTTCGTTTTCGAAAGATGAACTTATTTATATAAATGAAACTGTAAGCACTAATCTCACATAATGATTAATGATGAAGATAATCATTAGATAACTAATCTTTATATAAAATTTAATAGATACATAGTATATTTGAGAAACTTAAAGAGACTCTAAAATTAAACATTAAAAACAAAAAATGGATTACACAAAAAGATCGTCTTGCATTAATTACAAAAATAAATAATCTTAAAGTTGTCCTACCCGACATTTCTTATTTTAATAATAATGAATCAATTTATATAAGATATCAAGCAAACAAGGTATAAAAAAATCAATCATAGTTTTTAAAAATATGATATTAATAATAATTAAAAAAATGTAAATATTGTTAACTTTAATTATTTTTATTGAATGATATTTAACGATACTCCAATTTTAGGTAAATTTATCGAATAATTACTTAGAAAATTCAATAATTTTAATGCAAAGATATCGAAAATTAATCTATGCACAAGTTTTTACAAATCCAGGAGATCCTGAACAAATGTAAGTTTTTATAATTAGAAATAGATATAGAAAATGTTTTTAAATTGTTAAATTATATGAATTAATGTAGATGGACGCATTATGCAAAACTATACCAATCTAAAGGAATCGCGATTTATGGATTAAATCTCATTGTGATACCATTTGGTATAATCGACTGGTCCATGAATTATAATGAATTTTCATTTGATTACATAAAAATGGCGACAATTGGTAACATAATTGCACACCAAATTGCTCATCACTTTGATGCAAATGGTATATTAATAATATATAATTTTATATTATTATAATGTTTAACATTTTAGAATTATAACAGTAGATTTATAAGAAAATTCAAAAATATCTTATCGTCCAAATGTTCAATGATATATATGTTTATATATCATTAGGTATTTATTATTGGAATGGAACTCGCGATGCCAAGAACAGTTTGTTAAACGATGATAAATCTAGATATAATTTTAATGAATATATTAACTATCACCGAAATGATCAAAATTCTAGGAGTATGATATTATCATTTACTGGACAAAACGTAAACTATGAGGTAAATTGATACACTTATTTTTTTTTATAAAATCGTTACGATGTAAAATATTATTTTAAAATAAAACATTTAATCAAATACGTTTTTACAAACAATAAATCTTTTTTATTCAAAAATGTTTTAGATTTTGCAATTGACTCTAAATGAACGTCTGTCCGAGATAACGGGACTAAGATTAGCCTACGATACTTTGGCTCGATTGAGATCTAAAAAAGATTATCTTCCATGGTTAGAACTTGATTTCAATCAGTTATTCTATCTCACCTATGCTCAGGTACTTTCGTTACAGTAAAATTTATGGCATTGATATTTTAAATAAAATTACAAACATTATGACAATTACCGTAAGTAAGAACTTTCATCGTGATTTTTATAGATGTACTGTACGAAGTCACCACTTACGTCATCGTATATATCATTATATGAGAATGAACAGTTACCAAATCGGATTCGTATTTTTGTCTCCGCATCAAATAATATGTTTCTCGGCAAAGCTTGGAATTGTCCGCAAGGTTCACGAATAATGCCAAATATTCCATATATTGAATGCAAAGTATTTCCATATTTATGCGACACAGCAGAATAATATAATTACGCAATTAAAATGCGTAAATAATATAACGAATATTTTATAAAAATTTTATAAAAAAACGTGAGTTAAGTGGTAACAACGCTTTTCATTTATTCTCAGGAACATTTTTTTTCATAACATTCACGCGCAAACGAGCGTAGTATTCAAAAACCAGACAAACTCATGTATTCATTAAATCCATTACATCCAAAACTTCTATTGTACGATGTTATAATGTGACTAGAAAATTTAACAATATAAATAATTCACCCTTTAGTTGAATATTCCTTGCTCATAATTGTTTATAATTGTTTCTTTTCCAATAAATCCATAGATTTTGTAGAATGAACCATGTCTCCTAGAATACAGATCAATTTCTAAAAATATTTATTAGTATTTAATCTACCAATGATGAACTGAGCTGTATGATAAAATATTTATATATTTTTATAATAAATACACATAATTCATATTTTTCAATAGTAGTAGGAAAGCATTCATAACACAATTTATTTAGTTTTACATTATTCGTGTCAGTTATGTAACAGATTGCAAATGTAGCACTCTTGTTTTATATTTAGTATCTAGTTAATTATAAATCAATAGCCCAGTGCACTATCGGCTTAATTATTATTTACACCTCAAAAAAATATAATAAACATCAACACATACCACTGCTAAGGGTTACATCCAGATGACTGTTGTCTAGTTGAGTAATACATTGTTTTGAAGTAGCTTTCTTTTCTGTCTGAAAAGATGAGAGCCATGCAAAAGGCATTAGAAAAAGACATAAAAATAATAAAAAAACAACCATACAGTTAGTTACAAAATGAATAATTTCCAGTTTCATTTTAAAGAAATAAACACATACCTCAAAGTACCGATGCCATAAAACACAGCCATAAACACAAAGAACTGAGACTAGAGACTGGCAAAGTAGCCATAGAAGAATATTTAATGCTTGAGTACGTTCAAATAATGCAGCACCATGCCTTATACATAGTAATGCTTCTGTAACCATAATTGCACCATAAACCCAACATTGAGTCCCTACTCTACTACACGTTGGATCTGTTACATACATGTAGTATTGCCTATAATTATGTTAAAATATTATGCTACTTGTTTAAGAAATTATTATAATTGTTGCAATATATATTTAATATAAATTTATCTTATTTTGCATACCTAACAGAAGGTGCAACTATTACTCCAATTAATACCAATCTTGCCACAACAAATGGATGAGAGGTGGAAATTCATACACATGTTTCAAAAAAAATGTATTAAGCTCTGAAACTTGCCAGAATATAACCAACTGACACAGAGCAACGAATCTCATATATGTACATGTTGGATCCAACCATCTAACAGCAGTCCAACTACCAGGAGTAAATTGTAGCATTGCTCTCTTTAATTTTCCAGTAGTGCTCTCAATGTCAAGAATGCTTACCCATTTATATTCTCTCATTTCTAAGAGAGAGCAAATTTTTAATCCAACCCAAATACCCAAACCATTACAGACAATAACATCAAGTATAAAAGCATCCCACCAACATTCCACAAAATTTGGTAATAAATGAGCAAATGCTATTTCTGTTACTTCCCACATAATACTAATAGCCCACAGAATACCAAGATGACGAATAAGAATTGCTTTAAAAGTCCATCCTAAGAAGTGAGCTAATGCAAAAACATCTAAATGGTTCCATATTTTCTCAATTGTAATTTCTGAACAATTAACACCATATTCTTTATCCATATCAATATGAAACGATGCCAAACTAGGATCTATCCAAACAAAGATTTTTCTAACTGTTTCATAATCTTGAAATAGCATAAATAATAGACCCATTAGATATAATACACTACAACCAAATACAAGTTTCCATACAACAGGATGAGGTCTCGTAAATGGTCCATTTGGAAATGTAAGTATAGATATAATCAGAAAGAAAAATATGATACATAATATTCCAGCCCAAATATTGTCTTCAACATTTGTAGTATTCCTGCATTAAATCAACGATATTTACAGAAAAAGTTTCAAATTATATATAATAAAAAATTTTAAATATTTAATTACCTAGTGAATGCGGAATATATTACAGCACCGATTGAAATGAGAAGAAGTGTAATGCTATGCGGTTTATAAAAAAATTCGATGGAAATATCATCAACCGGTCTTTCATTAATATTTGGAAAACTGTCCGTTCCATGTCGTAATTTGTGCCCTTCAATATTGTCTATACTACTTCGACAATTCACAACCTTATTTTCGTCACTTTTGATGAATCTCTCTAAGAGACTGTCATCTACGGATTCTTCGTTAGTTGTCATTCCGATCAATAATTATTCGTTTTAAATTTATATTGTAATCATTTCACACGTTGTTTCGCCATGTTTTCCTTTTTCATTTCTATGTGCATCATCACGCTATTGAAGGACTTTGAACCACTTAAGCACATACAAATAATGAATTAGACAAAAAAATACTACGGAAATCAATTTACTTCCTGTTGTATGATTAGAGTTAAATAAAAAAGAACAAATTTAATTTTGTTTATATATCAGCTGATTGGACACGAAAGCATTCCTTTGAGAACGAACCTTTATATAGACATTAAACAGTTGTATAATTATAGATGTCACGACTAAGCTTGCCGCTTAGAATTCTCTATGGCAATCTGCAAGTGAGGTCTTGAGATATGGAACAATAGATATGAAAAAGACTAGTTGGAAGGACTGGTAAGGAGATGCGTTGCTTAGTAACAAAATGCGATGATGCGACACTATTTACCCATATTTCGTATTTCTATATAGTATATCGTATCATCAAGTAGATGGCGTCACATCATCGCGTCTTGTTGCCAAGCAACGCATTCTCCCACCAATTTTAATAGTTCCCTTTCTATTCCATACTTCACTGATGTTAACGTAGCAATATTGTTCGGCAATAAGTAGTACTTTGTCTTACTTCAGTGACGTCATGCATATGAATTAGTGTAGAAAATTCTTCGACAACCCTAAATTGCGATTACTTCTTGTTGCAAAGTAGAGTTGTTCCGTCTGTTATTTTGCTTTATTAATAATTTTTTTTACATATTACTTTTAAAAAGTTTCATATTTTTATTAAAAAATGGCAGATTATTTAGATGCTGAAGCGGAAGAAAGTGAGGTGGGCAATAAAATATAAAATAACGACATTGATTTTATATAACCTAATAACATTTCGTGATATTGTAGGAGGAAGAGGAACTCGATGTTAACGAAAGAAAAAAACTTAAAAAATTAAAAGCTATGCAAGATAGTGATGATGAAGATGATGACGAAGGTAATTCATACAAAAATGCATTTACATATTACCTCTAATTAAATATATTTAAATATGTTATATTTGCTAAAATATCTGTTTGAAATTTCTAGAAAAAACTAGATATTTAAACATCTATAGCAATTTATACAATATTAATAATATTTAAACTACGAAATATACTCGAAAGATATTCGAAATTGTAGTTCGGATTGTAGTAGTATTCGGATTGAGAATTTTTTTTGACTTTAGATGGGATTGTAAAATTTTTCTGGCATATAAATATCTGTATAAGTATAATTTCAGAATTTGAAGTACAATTCGAGATTATATTTTTGTAAAATTTTAATATTTGTGTAAGATTCTGCTTGACCCGACCTGAGGACCGAGTACTCCTATTATTAATATTTTAAATATTTATTATCATTTAAAATCATTTTTGTTTAAATTTTACTTATTTTTAATATAAATAGAAGATGAAGGAGAAGTTCCAGGACTTATTGATGATAATCCAATTGATGATGATGATAATGGTGAAGATAGTGATGGATCTGATTATTCTAGAAAACGTAAAAAAAGTGATGATGAAGATTTTGATGATCGTTTAGAAGATGAAGATTATGATCTACTTGAAGAAAATTTAGGAGTTAAAGTCGAAAGGGTATATACAATTGCAAAAATGTAAAATATTTCATATAATTTCACAATTTTTTAATATGATTTTATTTTTTAGAAACGTCGTTTTAAACGTTTGCGAAGAATACAAGATGAAGAATCAGAAGGAGAAGAAGAAAGAGAAGTAGATGATGAAAGAGATGCTATTGCAAATGAATTATTTCAAGGCTCTGGAGAAGTAATTTTTAAAATAAAATTTACATGTAATTGGTTTAATAATATATTGTAAAAGAAATTAAATAATCATTTATTATTCTTATAGGAAGATGAAGAAAAAAGTGAAGTTAGTCACAGAGGTGAAGTGGAAGGATTTGATGAAGAAGAAAGTGAAGATGAAGATGATTTCATTGTGGATGGTGATGGAGTACCTATAGCTGAGAAAAGAAAGAAAAAAAAACCTATTTTTTCTGATGCGTAAGAATTTTTTGCATTATAAATATAATATAACAGAATATAATATGTTATGATATAACATATATTGATTATTTATATACTTATTATAGTGCTTTACAAGAAGCTCAAGATATTTTTGGTATAGATTTTGATTATGATGAATTTGGAAAATATGGAGAAGATGAATTTGAAGATGATGAAGATGAAGAAGAAGATGATTATATTCATGACGAGATAGAAGATCGGCCAAGACGGTCGAAACAACATCTTAAAAAAAAGAGCACAAAAAAAAGTATCTTTGAGGTATATGAACCTAGCGAACTTATACGCGGTCATTTTACTGATATAGATAATGAGGTAATTATTAAAAATAACATTAATCTATCATCAATATTTATGAATAATGTTTGAGCTATCATAATATATGTAATATATGTACTTTAGATTCGTACAACAGACATTCCTGAACGCATGCAACTTCGCTCTGTTCCTATTACATCAACTGTAGAAGGTTCAGATGAATTAGATCTTGAAGCAGAATGGATATACAAACAGGCATTTTGTCAACCAACAATTTCAATACAAGATGCTCATCTCAATGAAGAAGCCAAAGAAAGAGCTAGAAAAGGTCCTCAAACAGTCAACAAAATTAAAAAAGCTTTAGATTTCATGCGTAATCAAAACTTTGAAGTTCCATTTATATCATTTTATAGAAAAGAATATGTTTTACCAGAGTTAAATATTAATGATTTATGGAAAATTTATAAATTTGACATGAAATGGTGTCAACTTAAACAAAGAAAGGAAAATTTATTGAAATTGTTTGAAAAAATGAGAAATTTTCAATTAGATGAGATTATGAAAAATCCAGATGCTCCATTGTCTGATAACATACGAATTATTAAAGATGATGATATTGAACGACTTAAAAATGTTCAGACTTTTGAAGAACTGAATGATATTTATCGACATTTTATGTTATATTATAATGAGGATGTATCAGTTATGCAAGAAGATATACGCAAAAAAGAGAAAGAAGCGCAAAAAAAAGCTAAATTGGAGAAAAGAAAACAACAAATCGAAGAAGCTGAGGAAAATGGAGAAGATCTTCCTGAAGAAATTGCAGATGTAGAAGATGAAGAAGAAGAAATAGACGAATCATTAAAAAAGCCAATTAGAAAAGGTCCTTATTATATTTGTAAAAAGGCTTGTTTAGATGGACTTGCTAAAAGATTTGGTCTCTCTCCGGAACATTTTGCTGAAAATCTTCGAGATAATTATCAACGCCATGAAGTAGATCAGGATCCAACAGAACCTGCAATAGTAGCAAATGATTTTTGTTCAGCAATTTTTAACACAAATGAAGAAGTACTTAAAGCTGCACAATTAATGGTTGCAATTCAATTAGCGCATGAACCATTAGTACGCAAATGTGTTAGAGAAATGTATATGGAGAGAGCAAAACTATCTATAAAACCAACTAAAAAAGGAATAAAAGAGATAGATGAGGCTCATGCCATTTATGGATTAAAATATCTTAAAAATAAGCCTGTACGAGATCTTGTTGGTGATCAATTTTTAAAATTAATTATAGCAGAAGAAGATAAATTAATTACACTTTCCTTTAGTGATATAATAGAAGGAAATACTAGCAATAATTATATTGATGAAATAAAGCAGCTATATTATAGAGATGAATTTAGTAAAAGTGTACAGGATTGGAATACATTAAGAACTGGTAGTGTTGAAATAGCTTTAAATCGTATTATAATACCACAATTGAAAAAAGAATTGCGATCTAATCTTTTAATAGAGGCAAAAGAATGCGTTATGAAAGCTTGTTGCCGCAAAATGTACAATTGGATAAAAATTGCTCCATATACTTGCGAATTTCCCGAGGAAGATGATGAAGAATGGAATACTAGTAAAGGAATTCGTGTGATGGGTGTAGCTTATGTGCCTGATCCATCTCAAGCTGCTTTTACTTGCATAATTTCTCCAGATGGAGAATGTACTGATTATTTAAGACTACCACATATATTAAAACGTAAAAATAGTTTTAGAGAAAATGAAAAAGTGCTGAAAGAAGCTGATTTATTAGCAATTAAAAATTTTATTGCCACAAAAAAACCACATGTTGTGGTAGTAAGTGGTGAAACTAGAGAAGCATTAATGATAGTAGCTGATATAAAAGAATGTATATCTAATCTCATAGAGGAAGAACAATATCCTACAATTCAAGTGGAAATATGTGATAATGAACTTGCTAAAGTTTATGCAAATAGTAATAGAAGTATATCTGAATTTAGAGATTACCCAGAACTATTAAGACAAGCTATATCTTTAGCAAGAAGAATACAAGATCCTTTGTTAGAGTTCTCTCAATTATGTACAATTGATGAAGAAATTCTGTGCCTTAAATATCATTCTTTGCAAGATCAACTTTCTAAAGAGGATCTCATAGAAAATTTATATTTAGAATTTATAAATCGTATAAATGAAGTGGGAGTAGATTTAAATAGAGCAGTTCAACAGCCTTATACAGCAAATTTAGTACAATTTGTATGTGGTTTAGGACCCAGAAAAGGACAAGCTTTGATTAAGATTTTAAAGCAAACTAATCAAAGATTAGAAAATAGAACACAACTTATAACAGCATGTCACATGGGACCTAAAGTATTTGTCAACTGTGCTGGTTTCATTAAAATTGATACAAATAGTTTAGGGGACAGCACAGAGGCATATGTAGAAGTTCTAGATGGTTCGCGTGTACATCCGGAAACATATGAATGGGCTAGAAAAATGGCAGTAGATGCTTTAGAATATGACGATGAAGATGCAAATCCTGCTGGAGCTCTAGAAGAAATTCTTGAATCACCAGAAAGATTAAAAGATTTAGATCTAGATGCATTTGCAGAAGAACTTGAAAGACAGGGTTTTGGAAATAAGTGCATTACTCTTTATGATATAAGAGCTGAACTTAATTGTAGATACAAAGATCTTCGTATATCTTATCAATCTCCAAATACTGAAAAATTATTCGATATTTTGACTAAAGAAACTCCAGAAACTTTTTATGTTGGTAAATTAGTTTTAGCTACAGTTGTTGGTATAAGTCATAGAAAACCACAAGGAGAACAATTAGATCAAGCAAATCCTGTTAGAAATGATGAAACTGGATTGTGGCAATGTCCATTTTGTTTAAAAAATGATTTTCCAGAATTGTCTGAAGTATGGAATCATTTTGATGCCGGTGCATGTCCAGGGAAAGCAACTGGAATTCGTTTAAGATTAGATAATGGAATATCTGGTTATATTCATGTAAAAAATTTATCTGACAAACATGTCGCTAATCCAGAAGAAAGAGTACGTGTTGGACAAGTAATTCATTGTCGTGTAATAAAAATCGAAGTAGAACGATTTAGCGTTGAATGTACTAGC